TGAGCTGTTAAATAAAACAACGTCTACCATTGGGAAAAAAAAGAAAGAAAATGAAAAACAAAACAATAAGAAACTTGCAGGTGTGACTGTGCTCCTAACCATGACATACAAGATGTGGTAGATGCCCCATCCCTGGAGACAGTCAAGGTCAGGCTGGACCAGGCTCTGAGCACCCTGAACTAGCTGTAGGTATCTCTGTTCATTGCAGAGAAGTTGGACTAGGTGACCTTTAAGAGTCCTTTCCAACTCAAACGATTCTGATATAACCAATTTAAACAAGATATCTAATGGTTTCTTATTTTGCTTTTGACTAAAGAGCAGAACTATGAATGTTGCATTGCTTAGAATTGAAAATTTATCTACTCAGTGCAATGGCAATTAAAAATAACAATACAAAACAATTTCACCTGAAGATGAGTTTCAATACTTGCTTGTCTCTCTTCAGTGAGTGTTGTCCTGTCTACTGTAGATATATTTCTATGCAGCAGATTAATGTTTTTTAGAATATGGTGCTAATACATTTGCATGGTGATAAACCATATCATCCTATTTTTTTTTCTATTTATGACTAGGCAGTAGAAGCCATTACTATTTTTATGTGCTCAAAACTGATAACAGCTCTCACTTAAAGACCAAACTTTGCAGCAGAAGCTTAGTTTACTGTAAGAGGCAAAGTGGCCAATTTTTTTCAGTGAGCTAATTTTCTCTTAGGCTTATAGTACTGTAGATACTGCATTTTTTGTGAGTAGAAGAAAAGTTTGGACTCAGTGGCATCTAAGGTTGTATTCAAGTTTAAAGTTTGTATTCATTTCACATGTTACTTTAAGTCCAGTATTTATATGATAACACAATGCTAATTGATCTTTTTTTTACGTTCTTTTATAGAATCTGGCAGGATATTACAGTCTTTTATACTAGTATAGCAGTCTTTTGTATTTCTGGTGTTTTGAGTGTCTCACAGTAAGCTGTTGTTACAATACAGCACAAGGGACAGAAGCTCTTGATTCAAAACTGTTCTATGGTAAAAATGCTGAAGGCTTACATGTGGGTATCTACCCAAACACACATTTTTCCCTTTAACTTCTAACAGAGTTCTGGTTTCCATGTAGCTGAATGATCAAATGAACCCAGGAAAATGCTCGCTGACTTCACACGTCCTGCTCCTATAAGAAATACTTAGCTGGAGCCTTCAGGATAGTGAATACAATGAATATGAACATCAGTAAAGTAATAAACATCCTCAATGTAGTTAGGAACATGAGTTAGGCAAAATCTTTCCTTCCTTTTACATTTCTATTTTTAGTTTTCTGCAAAGTGATGCATAGAAAAACTGAAGTTTGTTTGCCAAACTCTGTACTGCTATACATAACCATTACTTTGACCTTTTGAGAAGGTCTATGGACTTCACTGAGCACAGCACAAAGCAGTATAGGCTGTTATATCCCTGTAACTAATAGGGATTTCAAGATAGCTATTATCAAGTCAGAAGTATTTGATCAACAAAAAATGACCAGTTATCTAAACCTTGGAGAGTGGGATAGATGAGGACAGAATAAAGAACGTAAATCAGCAGAATCGTTGAAAGATCACAAAGCCAAAGAAATGGGAAAATGATGGAAAAAGTCAGCAAAGTCAGAAGTGTCAGAAAGGAATAAAAGATGCAGTGCGACAAACAAGGGTTGAAGGCTACTTGCAAAGACAAAGAAATTTTTTAATAAGTGCATTTCAAACAAAAGATCTGTGAGGGATTGCTCAAATCAAGGGGAAGTTTTTCATGGAAGACCTAGATAGCACTGGGAAACAGTTTCTTTGCCTCAGCATACATTAGGGAGAAAAGAGAGAAACTTTCCAGAATTGGAAGTGTTTTTGTAGAACAAAATCTGGAAAATACTGAAAATAAAGCCTGCCCAGTGGAGCTGACAAAATAGAATAGCAACTCAGCAGAATGGTCCCAGGGCAGCTGGTGTCTTCCCTTATAACCTCTCCCTCCCCCCCAACCGCCACCCCCCAATAGAGTGTAGAAGGTGAACACTGACAAGCGCACAGCAAAGACTCAACTACAGCATCTGCACTGCCCCAGCAGAGTACAGGTTATGTGGAAAAAAATCTTTTTTTTCCCCAGCCTGTGTACGTGGTGTGTATTGGCATTCTTTAGCATTCTTTTTGTGTGCAAAATCCTTCAATTAATCTTCAGCTGAAGTCTCCTTCTACTTTCCTTCCTTTTGTTGAGGATTTTTGCTTGCAATAGATAGAATTTGGGCATACAGAAAGGGAAGCTTTCCTTCTGCTTATATGCCATCCTTGATGTGGAAAAACACTAACAGGCATCAGCATGTGTGCAAAAATGTATATTTTAGAAGCAATGGTAACAAGTCCCTTCTTGCTGGTGAGTGAAAGCAAAGGTACTAACGCTTCAGTTAGCATGGGCAGTGCATGCTTATGGTCAGAGTAAATGTTATCTTAATGCTCAATTAAGTCTTACTCTTAAGAAACTGAAATCTGCAAACAACTTCAACACATGACTTAATGTATGGCTTTATTTCATAACTGATTTAGTCTTCCTTTAGTTTCTGATTACTAGCTCCTGGTTAGCAAGGCCAGCCTCAAGAGAAAGGGGACAAATTGCATCCTCCTATGCTTTGCAAAAATCTTTTCCCTGGAAATTAGATCAAGATACTTTAGCTCTTGTAATCTACATTGCTGCTCTTTGACACTTGTTTGGCAACTGAGACAGACAGGATTCAAAACATTATCTTAGAGGTGAAAGGCTACATATCCTGTTAGTGGGAAAACTTTCATCTACAAAAAGCTGCTGTATTTGTCTAGAGACTAAGGAAGATCTGACATCAGGAAAAGCCTTTGTGAAATCCACTACAGTAACAGAGGTATTCACCTTGATTTAAAGCATTATTTTATGGTGAAATCTAAAAATGGAGCAAGATTGAGCTATAACTTAAATGCAGGAACTAAGACAAATAACAATTTCTATGAGGAAACGGAAGTGCCACAGGGATTGGGTTCCAAAGCAAACTTGTCTTATGAAAAGGATATGAAGTTAAGTAATGGAAAACAAACCAAGGATTCAAAAAAATATTTTCTGTCAGAAATGATAATAAAAAATGAAAAAGATAAATAGAATTACATAACTGCCTGACATTCAGGAAGGAAAGTGTGCTTTTGATTAAAATACTCAAGAAATTGTTGAAAAATTTATCCTAGTGGAATTAGTACCTCTACGATGTTGCAAAGGTCAGAAAAAATGTGAAGTATTGATTACCTTGCCTGTGAATCAATCCCACAGTAATGCCACAATGAAGACTTAATATAGTTGGTCCTGTTTGTCTTAGGACATTTTCTGAATTTTCACTCTTGAAACAATTCACTTTAATGAAGAGTTACTGGCTTTGTTTTCTTTGTTTGTTTTCCCTGCTTTGCTTTTCTGTAGTGGAGCAGTAAGAACTCAACTCAGTTGCAGTTTGGCAAGAATTAAACATGGAGGAATGAGAGAGGGAAGAAAATAAATAAATTGCACCCCTTCCAGTGCTACTTGTTTGGAACCAAATGACAGCACAGTCATTCTGCCATGCTTTCTACTGGGTTCCATCAGTAGCTGGCATGTTGTACGTGCACAAGGGGAGGTCAGGCAGTTTGCTGAGCGTTGCCTTTTTTACTCTGAAAATCGTGACCTTCCTGCTCCACTGAGCAAAGATGGTCAGGAGTTCCTGGAGCAATTTTCCAAATAAATGATACTTTTTTTGTAATCCAAATTTCTTGAAGGAATGTTTCAACAGAAGATTTTCCAGTAGCCTGCTAATTCAGATCTGTAGGCTGAGAGAGACCAGAGCAAAGGCTGGATAGAGAGACAAATGTACTGCTTCACAATGTGCCATGATGTGACCCAGTAGCACTGATGTAGAGATCACAGTCTGTTAAAGTTGCCTACTGAAGTCAATAACCCCTCCCCCCCCCAGTATGTCTCCTAATTAGTTCAGGGCAATTTTTTTCCTCTTTTTTTTTTTCTTTTTTTAATTTGTATTTTATTTTATTTTTTCCCACCAAATAATCAACAAAAAAACTCGTAATTAAAAAAATACTGAGAAAAAAACTTCTATGGAATCAGACTTCTAAGGCTATCAGTTTATAGGTGCAGAGCAGAAAGAACTTTGATCTTTAAGTTTTTGCCTGTATCTCCTTTCCAGCAGATAGTTAATTTACTAATTGCCACTATTTTTAAAATGAACTAATGTTGCCATCACAGCACCATTAACTGCTTTTACTTTGCTATCGTCTTTGGTTTTCTCCAGATATGACCTTACCATACGTAGGTATCCTGGAGAAATGAGCTGAATATGGAAACGTTGACCTGACAATCTGTTTGTTGAACAGCACTGTTGGAGGAATACAAGGCACCAGAGCATTTTTCTGCAAGTTCAGATGATGCTCTCATTGAGAAAGTCCCTAAAAGTGTCCTGTTCCCTATTTTTTAGTACTGAAAAAACAAAATATTTACTAAAACTTGCTTTCCTAAAGTAGTTGGTCTTCAGTAAGCACCTATTTGTGGATCTGTACAGCTGAATATCTTCAGACTCCCTTTTGCCTACCTCCCACCAGCTCCACATCTCCATGTCTGCTTTACACATACTTTGGTGAACAGGCGAAGGGTACAGGGTTGGAGAGGAACGCAGGAAACCTTAATTTCTCTCCACTCTCAATAATGCCTTTTTGCTACCATCTAGTGGTGATAGACAGGTGTCATAACACAGGTGCTTGCAGAGAGGTGGATTTTAGCAACAAGGAAAAAAGATGGAGAACTGCATACAAAAGTTTCCCCAGAATGTCTTTGCTGTAAGATTTTGCTTTGCAGTCCCTTGGTGCTGATCCTGCTGCACTTTCTGTCAGTCTATGGCGCAGTGCAGAGAGGCCAAGGCAGGGCTGTGACCTGCTCTTGTCTGGGATCCAGCCTGCCTTGATACTACAAGTCTTTCTTCTGCTGTTCGCAGATGATTGATGCTTGCCCACTTTGGGGTGCTGCAAGATGTTAGAATGCCTGAGATTGTGTGATACCTATGATGCTGAAGGAAAGGCCACAGTTGTCTTTACCCTGCAATCAGTTTCATCAAGAAGGCAGTGGAGCCTTTACTAAATATCCTGGATCATGTCGTAAGGGACGCAACACATCAGCAATAACAAGGTATGATGATGATATGTCTGAGGGTTACAAAGATGTAAGTCAAGTCCAGAACCTTCTATTACCTGTTGTAATAAGTGGCCCCAGACTAAAAACATTGCCACTTGCCAAACTGGGAGAATATTTTCCACTTAGATTAGAGGTATATGCCAAAAATAGAGTGCTTGTTTTAAAGAGTACAAGAGAATCTCCCCTAGAACTTAAGTTTAAATATTGATACTGAGGAAAAATAAGGAAGGAAGGAAGGAAGGAAGGAAGGAAGGAAGGGGAAAGAAAGCAAATGTCCTCTGAAAAGGGAAAGCAGTAGGTGGAAAACCTGAAATCAAATTCTGAAATCAAGTTAGTGAAAGAGACATTAAATATAGAGGTCCATCCTTGGCTCAGAGTACCACAAACAGTTCCTAAAGAAAAGGACTTTCTTTACATTGGTGCAGAGCTCTCTTTTCAATATCCCACATTCTGAAGACAGATATTTTGTGTAGAACACAGTAATACAAATCCAGAATATTTCATTCTGTTTATATGTGTGAGTGAGTTCAAGGAAAAACAAATATCTATTTTGGTTGAGATCAATTCTACAGCAAATAAATACATTTCCACACGTACATGATGGAAAAGTCTCTTTTCCTTTTGCTTAAAATTCACTTACCTTAGAATCACAAATATATTTCCACCCAGAAAGAAAACAGGAAAGAGGGAGAGTAATCACCTAATGTAAATTGTATTTCTGTCCCTAATCCTGGAATTAAATCCTTCCAGGCCTCTGCAGTCAACCCACAAATACGTCTTTGGAAGATCAGACTTAGAATTGGATGCCTCAGTAACAGGAAAGAGGTGTACTCTACACTTCATTGTGCAGCTTTCCAGTGTTAGCTGTATGAATTAGTGAAGATTAAAGCTGTCTAACTCTTGGCTCTGACAAGCAGAAGTTAGGTTTTACAAAATACATGTTGAAATTCAGTGTGCATGTGATAAAAAAAACATACTTATCGAACAAACTGCTATATTTTGAAAGGCGAATCTTATCTCACACAAACAGATGACATGGATTTAAATTTTCAGTTCTATTTAGGTCCCAAATGATAAGACTAATCCTAACTGTGAAATATTTCAGTCACTTAGAAAACAGTAAAAGAGAAATAAATCACAAGGCAGCTGTAGCTCTAACATGACCAAAAAACTAATGATCCATATACTCTGTCTGCTTTTCTATAGGTGATGTGAAACTGAGTTTAATACAGGAATCTTCAAAGTAATCACATCAAATGACAGCAGAGGGAGCTATCATTTCTCTTCAGTTTATGGTGACCTTGCTGAATCCATTGCTCTCTTATGCCTTGTGTAGTTACTATCAGGAATCTTGAAAAATACAAATTCTGAAACGTGATGGAACTTTTCCAAAAGGGAGTTAGAGACCGACAAGGGAGGAAGAAAATACATGTAAATATGCAATGTAAGGCCTGAAATCATCTTCTGAACATGAAGGCCATGCAATAAGCACTTCGTTCTTACAGAACTAAAATGTAAATAATGTTGGGCTTGTCTGGTTAAATTTACCTTTTCCCTAGAAACATAATTGACAGACTAGTTAATCTGTAAGTTCTTATCCCTCATGAATTTATAATTCATCTGCTACATTTTGCTGTCCTTACTGAAGTGCTCATACAGAATGGACAGGGTAACACTTGCTAAAAGTGTGCAGTGTCCTGCCCGTGGAAGCCACAGGGAAGCCATACATTCATCCATTGAAAGAACTGACAAATTAACATATTGCATCCTGTGCTGCCCTATGTGTGAGATAAATTAACTAGAAAAAGGGTTTTTTTCCTTTTTTTCTTTAATCTGAAAACTCAGTGGACACATATGAAGTATGGATTCCTTGGATATATTTTTTTTCTTTCCTTCTGGGGCTTGAGTGATGAAAGCATGGCCTGTGTGGCCCCAGTAAGTGAAGTACTGAAACTCTGGTCCACTTGGATTGAAGTGAACAGACAGGTGAGGTTACATGCTGAACTGGCTGCTGCAAATCCAATGCTGAATGTTTTTTATGATAAGCCCCAAAATACCGAAACACAGCCCAAGATTTGTTTCTAGGCCCACTTGAGGCAGAATGAATGCTCCACATCCTCACACTGAAAGCAGCTAGAACAATGCCTGAGATCTGCTTGTTACAAATCTAGAGGCTCAGCCATGGCCCTTCCCTCTCCCAGCAGGCAGTGCTGGGCCTGATGAACCCAGGGTATGGTTTGCCCTTTGGGCTGCCAGGGCACACTGCTGACTCTTCAACTTGCTGCCAAGCAGAACCCCCAGATTCCTTTCTGCAGGGCTGCTCTCCTGCTTCTTGTCCCCCAGGGCAGGAGATCCATATGTAGATACATAGATCCAGGGCTGCCCCTTTATCTTATTAGAATCCTGGGTACAAGATACAAGATTTGTGAGGAATACCTGGAATACAACAGAGTAAATTGACAGCATCTGTAATGGTAAAAGCAGAAGTTGCAAGTATTTTTTTCATTATTATTTTTACTCTTTTTTTAGGGAAATAACACGAAACAAGTTTGTGTGATGCCAGCAAGTCTCACCGCAGTGAGGTATGAATTTAGTTGCATCTGTCACGAGATGTAATTCTAATCCCAGTGTGATCCTGGCAGAGTTCCCACTGACTTTGATAGAGTTGAGATGGCACTTCACAGAGCCTCATCAATTCAGGAAAGCTCAGGGTCTGCTTTGGCATCTCCATTTCTCACAAACCCGCTGCAGTGTCTCATTCTTGCCTCTGCTGTTCCCACAGGCATTCACTTATCCTTCCCTCCTTTCTGCGTGTTCACTTCGACCACCTTGCCTGGCTTTTCAACAAGCATTTCATGTCCTGATCATTGATCAGTGGAGAATGCTCGATGTGTTCATTATGGTTCTGCAGACAACTATATTGTTCCTTGGGATGACTGTACATCCATCCGTTGGTAATTAGTGGCATGCTGAGGATTTTCCATTATTGAAGATGTTGGAGGTAGGCTACAGTATTACAGATTAGATTTTGGAGTACTGCATAGACTTTTTTGCAAAGCAAGTTTGGCAACATTTGATTCAAAGAGTTACTGATTTCTATTAATAGTCTAAGTTGCTTTTCACTAGCTCTCTGCTATTAGTAAAGGCTGCACTTGTTGTCCTTTATGGATGTAAGACTTGTTTAGATCTTGATTCTCTTTTGCTATTTTATGTCATATAGATCTTCTTCTAGGCCTTTTTTTCCATTTATTAGAACAAACACTGATAGGAAAAGTACAATGTCTGTGAATAACACTCCATTAAGTTTAACTTACAAAGTTGAGTGAATTAACTCAGATTCTCACATTTCTAAGAGCTCTGTCAAAATCCAGTGCAGATGTTGGGGCTAAGGGATGACAATGAGCAGAAATTTGAACAAGTGAATAAATTTGTTGACGGAACAACAAATGATGGTATTTTCACACAACCTGGTATTTTTTCAGAAGTAATGGTTTGGATCTGTGTCTCATAGAAGATTGTAAAGATATACACCTACAAAGATTTTTTGTTAAGTAAGCTCATCTCTGTTTCAAGCCATAGAGGAATAGGTTTGCTATGATGTATCCCTCCTTCGTCTTGTCTTGCACTGAATAATTTGTGGGAATTAAGAAAAAGCATTTAGCCCCAGCATTAAGCATTTAGCCTGGCTTACCTTGGGGTGCAGGTGCTGCCTCACATGTATTTGGATTGCTTACAGGCAAGTCTATCAGTACGAGCCTAAGGCTCCAAGCAGCCGACTGGAATGTATATTGCCAGATATGTTGATTTACAGTCATTTGGATGTTGATGACTTGCCCTATCATACAGGGCAGCGATGTGAAGGTATGAGAAATGGTTGCTGCATAAACATTCTGTTCTTCTGACAATCATATCAGTCTGTACTCTGCTGCCCATTGTGTTTTCACTGAAAAGGTTGTGTATATAAAGTAGTCAGTGTGACCACTGACATTTACTGTGCATTTTTAAAGAAAAACTTCTGGAGACACAATGTGTATGTGTGTAAGGAGGTAATGCACCACATTTTTTGCCTTCCTCAGTTTTTATTCAAATCTTGCTGTTATATTTATTGTTATATGATAAAAACAAACAAACCAGCAAAAGGTGTAATTATGGTCTTTTGAATCTGAAAACAGTTTTAAAAGCTTTGAATTCTGAATCAGATCAAAGTAGTGTATATAACGAGACAGTCTTTGCTAGAGTTCTCATTGGTTGCAACCTTCTAAATGTAATAAAACAAGTGAAGTTGATCTCCCTTTCCTGTTTTAATTATGTGACTAAATAGCCGCAATCTCCAGCTGACATTTTAATAGTAAGGGGAACTTACTGTGTTTTTTTCCTGAAATGGAAGTTTCTCATGAAATCCTAAGGAACATTTCAGATAGCTGTGATGGAAACAATAATTCTGATTAGCTCACATTTGACTATGTTTAAATACAGAGCATTTTGGCATTCAAAACAGTATTGCAAGGGCTGATATCTCAGCTCTTTTTAGCATACAGTGTTGAATACACAAACGTGCACAACTTGAAATCACACAAACGTGAAAATCTGCAATTCAGAATCTAAATTGCTTCGATAAAAAGACACAAAATATTTGCTTTAAATCTAAATGCAAAGTACCTTTATGCCTCTATTTTAGGAAGCAAAATTGGTAACTGTTTTTTTCTACAAAGGAAGCATCTCTCCTCTGTACTTTAGTACTGATTAGTAAATGGATATGCAGAAATCTCTGTATGAAATTAGACAAGCATGAATCTGTGCACTCCAATATATTTAATACATGTTCCCTAAGACCTCAACAACTAAAGCTAATGCTCCCTCAGCTCCATTGAACTAATTAAGTTAGGTTGTTATGTTAATAATGGGCTGCCCTTCTGCCTGCATTTATAGCACTTAGCAAGTCAGTGTGTGTGTGTGGATGCTTACTGCATGAAGGAGAAAGCTTCTGTCAGTGAATTAGATTAATCCATCACGAGAATTAATGTGACATGATTACTGTTGATATATGTGAAGAAGCAGGCGTGCACGAACTTGATGCAAAGAGATATCTGCAGCTGTAGGAAGTAAGAAACACTTCAAAACATTAGGCAAGGGCTATGAGCCTGTACAGTTGAACAAATGGGCTGCTGATGCCGAGATGTGCTGAAGATAGGCTGCTGATATGACAAATGCACAGGGTGCCATGGGATCCCAATGCTGCTATCAAGCATTTAGTTTAACTCAGTTGTGTTGATGTTTTGCTACAGACTTCTAATAACACCTGTTGTGTAAAATATTTCTCCAGATTAGTTTTCAGTTATTTTGCTTTCTGAAGAAGAGATACTTGAAAATCAATTAAGAAAAAAAAAAAAAAAAAAAAAAAGAAAGAAAGAAAAAAGATCAGCTGTGCTTTGGACATTATTTTGGTTGTTCTCTAATTTTGCCAATCATTTCATCAGCCACTTCATCTCCTTCTGTTCTGCTGACTGTGTGCCATGTCCAAGGTTGCTAATGATTTGGAAGTTCCCAACTACTGAAATGTGGCCCCTTAAGCCGGTGGTAACGGGCTGAGAAGAAAATGCTGCATTGGTAAATATTCTTTTGTGTCATAAATATTAAAACATAATGAAGAGTTGATAGCTGCGATAAAGGAAAAAGCAGAATTGCTGAAGTGAAAATTTATAAGAATAACAAATTGTCTTCCTGACAGAGGTAAATATGCATGTGGGCTTCTTTGTATGGCAGATACAACCATTAGAATGTAGCATAAAACCAAGCCAAAATAATTGCAAGTTTTTGAGATGATCTTAATGTTGCTTCCTAGAAGGTGGTGGGCAGTAATAGAATTTCAGTTATCAAGAACAAAGTGGTAGAGAACTACCAACAGCATCTGACAATTTAAATTAATCATTTACTTAGCTTCAGCTCACAGGAGCAAGGTTTGTCTCATAGTACCATGTGTAATTTATTTTTCTTATACATAGTGAGAAAAGGTACTAAGATACTCAAGAGTCCTGAAGAAATAATCTCAAATTCACAATGCACTGTCCTGCATTTCCAACCACTGGCTGAGGCTGCAGAGATAAGGATTATTGTGTTGAGGACACTTGTAAGCATTGGAGTCAAGAGCAAATCGCCCACATGGTTTGTTATGCAAACAAATGAACCCCCCCGGCTCCCCCCCCCCCCCCCCCCCCCCCACGTATCTATTCAATGAAGCTGTTCATTTTAAAACAGGATCTTATATATAAAATTAGTTTAGGCATTTGTCTGCAGTGTAGCATCCATTTACAGATGAGGTTACTGTGGTGCACTCAGACTTCACAGGCATGATTCATGGTATTCATTTGTGTGTTTCCTAACGCATTGCAATATACATAGCCCAACCCAGCTATAAAATAGCTATTTGATTGCATGCTAGCAAATACATATTAGGCCCAGTCCATTTTGAATAAAATTTGACAGCATGTGAATCGCTGGATATAGCTGGCAAAGAATGGCATTAAAGTCAGCCATAAGTATCAGACTGACTATGGACATCTATAGGGGATAAATACTGCAAGTACCCATCGCTTCTTGGAGGTATTGCTTTTATAAACAGTAGTGCAAAAGCGGAAAAAAAATAATCAAATAACGTCCTATGAAGGATATCTTAAAACATTTTGGACTGTGATTTCAAAATCGAATTTCCACAAGTAAAGAGAAAAATATCGTTCACTGTGGCACTTTTTGCAAAGTCTGAAGGTTGAAAGAAAGTTATTTTGTAACCAAGCACAAAATAGGCATTTGAAAAATGATTTAGCTGGCAAAAAAACCACAATTTTTTTCCACATTAAGATAACTTAAGAACACCCAAATTGTTTTTTATTAGACTTCTCATATTTACTTCTTGGCTGACACATGCATGAGATATTCAGTCCTAAAGGTCACTTCTGAGAAAGCAATGAGTGACTGGAAATAGCACTGCAGGACAAAATGATGTCTCATTGCTAACTATTATTGGTAGAGAGTGATAAATATTTTACTCCAGAGGCTACAGGCCAGCTCCTGTAAATAAATTTCTGTTTCTCAGCTGTAGTGACAGCTGAAAGATGGTGTGACAGAGTGGCTCTTCCTGAGTTTAATTTTTTGATTAAAGAGAGGATGAGATGGAGTGGCCTGGATGTGTCACCTCATTGCACACAGTAAGGCCTGAGGGCTGCCTCAGTGGGGCCCTGGCTGCGTGGCTGTGAGGTGCCTGTGCCGCACCTCGAGTACTGTGTTCAGTTTTGGGCTCCTCACTACAGGAAAGATGTTGAGGTCCTGGAGCGTGTCCAGAGAAGGGCAACAAAACTGGTGAGGGATCTGGAGCACAAGTCTTACGAGGAGCAGCTGAGGGAGCTGGGATTGTTCAGTCTGGAGAAGAGGAGGCTCAGGGGAGACCTCATTGCACTCTACAACCTCCTGAAGGGCTCCTGAAGGGAGGTTGTGGTGAAGAGGGATTGGGCCTCTTCTCCCAGTCAATGAGCAGGACATGGGTTAATGGCCGCAAGTTGTACCAGAGGAGGTTTAGGTTGGACATAAGGAAGAACTTTTTCTCTCAGAGAGTGGTCAGGCACTGGAATGGCTGCCCAGGGAGGCGGTGGAGTCGCCGTCCCTGGCAGTGTTCAAGCGGCGTCTGGATGACGTGCTGCATGATATGGTTTAGTACTAGTGGTGGCAATGGTGATGAGGAGACGGTTGGACTGGATGATCTTATAGGTCGTTTCCAATCTTGTGATTCTATGATTCTATGATTCTATATGTTTCTCCACTGCCAGAAGAGAGATAGGAGAGGCCCGGACAGCCCCAGTGCAGTAGCAGTAGCAACGAATGAATGGGGCCTGCATACAGCGCTCGACACACACAGCTGCCATGTCATCCCTTCTTGTCTGGACCAGTGCTGCCCTTTATGCTGTTCAAGCATCAACACAACGCTGCAGTCACCACAGCTAATTTTCCCTTTTGCGTGCTTTGGTTGTTCGATGGTTTACTTTTTCCCTTTCCTTTTCTATTTGGCGTTGACATTCATCCTTAAGGTTTAATCATGGGGTAAAAAGGAGAGGGAGAGGAGAGGAGGAAAAAGAGGAAGGGAGGAAGCAAGAAAGGGGAGGAAGGGAGGGAAGGAAAGAAAGGAAGCTTTTCAGATGTTTTCTTATGGGGTGGGTGCTGCTACCCCTTCTGGAAAGGCAAGATCGAAGTAGCTGTCTGTCTGTGCCGCTCTACGTTGAGGCCTACAACATCCTAAATTCAGGTTTCGCAGCCTGAGGTACCTCCTACCTCCACCCACCCCCACCATCCCCGGCCGGCCCGCAGGGCGGCGCCCATCCCTGCAGCCACCGCCCGTAGATGCGGCCACACATCGCCCCGCCCGCCCGACGGGGGCGTCACAGGCGCGGCTCGGCCCTTTCCCCTCCCTCGCGCAGGCGCGGCCCGGCCATGTCCGCCGTGGAGCGGCGCTTGGCCCGTTTTCGGGCAGCTCGCGGCAGGGCAGCCGCCGTCCCCCTGCGCCCCGCTGAGCCGCCGGGAAAGGCCGCGGCTCCGGAGCCCGCTGAGAGCCCGGATGGTGGCGGGCAGGTGAGCGCCGCGCGATGCGGGTGGGGGCCGTGCGGCGGCGGCGGCGGCGGCGGGGCCGGCGTCTGAAGGCACGTCTCGCTGCTGCCTCCACAGGCCAGTCCCGGCTGGGCGCCGGCGCCGGTGTGGGCACGGCCGCTGCTGCTGAAGGTACTGCTGTGGGCCGTGCTGCTGGCGCTGTTCGCCGAGCTGGAGCTGGGGCTGCCCTACTTCGTCCTGTCCCTCCTCTACTGGATGTACGCCGGCACACGAGGCCCCGCCGAGCGGCGGCAGGGCGAGCTGAGCGCTTACTCCGTGTTCAACCCCGGCTGCACCGCCATCGCCGGGACGCTGACGGCCGAGCAGCTGGAGCGGGAGCTGCATTACCGGCCCGCCGCCGGGAGGTAGCGGAGCTGGGGCCGGGCTGGGGAGGAGGAGGCGCGGCTGTGCCCTGCGCTACGCAGCCCGTGCCTGACTCCTTCCTCGCCGCTCCCGAATAAAGCCGTAACAAAGCGCTATCAGCTTGTCGGTGACTTTCTGCTTACCACGGGAGGCCGGTGTTGGACTGCACTTGTAGGGGAGTGCCCCGCTGCTTTCCCGCCCGGCTCTGTCTACACCCAAGACGAGGCACGAGGCGGTATTGGTACAACTGAAGCCAGCTGCTGCTTCTGATCATGCCCGTGTTTCATCCAATACATCAGATTTTGGTGCAGGTTTCTCGATTGCTCCGTGTTACAAAGTTTGCTGGCTGCAGTGTAAGGCGAAAATATCTGTTATTACTCCTGACAGGTGACACGTGTGGTTTTAACCATCATTTTGGAAAAATAACTAAGGGACAATGAGCAGCAAATGCAGAACTGCAAGAAGCTCTTAGATGAAATAGTACTTGCTTGTTGCTGCACTTGGTCTTTTTTTACCACCACACAGCTGGTGATGCTTCTCACCATCATCCCATGTGCAGCCAGGTGCACTTTTCTTTATGAGCCACTTTGGTTTTTTAATAATCCATTGGTATTTCTATTATATAAATGATTGCATGAAAATAAACCATTGATATTAAGCTGTAGTGAAGAGCAGTTAGTTGAGTTTACACCCATTTGTTGGTCTTTCAAATCCTGTTTCATTGTGTCTTTTCTGTTTTAGCTGTCACTGTAGTTACCACAGGTTCCATCTTTTGTTGGATAAGCAAATGGAAATGTTAATTGGACTGAAAAGAATAATAGGTTAGGGCACAAGTAATACCTTGTGACACTACTAAGCGTCCTTCAGTATCTCTCTGCAACACTATCAGCTTCTACCACTGCTCTGCTGTATAAATTCTACGTTACCTAAAGCCAACCACAGAATTTTCTCACTTCTTTCACCATCCTCTGGCTGAGATGTACAAACCAGCTGAGTTCTCGCTGTTCTTTTCACTGATATCACCTAATTCCATATGGATAATGTGCTCCGTTTTGTTTTCGGTTAACAAAGCCTCTGCAGGTTCA